AGTCTCATATATTTTATAAATTAGTTTCTTGCTTTCATGTAAATTATCGCTTCTAACAATTGCTGATAATTCATCTTGCAATATTTCTATCTCTTTAAAATTTCTAACTTTATAATAAAACAAATGACTTATATTTACCCTAATAATTGGTGGTACTGTTGATGATTTTTGAAGACTTACAAGTGTTGATATTCCACTATGACGACCTCTACAAAATAAAGAATTTAACAATTTGTTATTTCTTGTTATTGCTGGATTATCAGATACATCATCCAAAATTACCAAAATATTAAATAATTTCTTCGTTCCTTGTTTTTTCTGGTATTCAATTATTTTATTTTGAGTTTCTATAACTCTTTCTAAATCTTCAACATTGAACTCATCCCACCAACACGGTTCTTTATCATTATCTACTTTCAAACCTTCCTTGATGTATTTCTTCACTGGCAACCAAATACTATCCAAATTTACAGATGGAGACCAGATAAAAATTCTTTCAAATGCTCCTCTATAAATATCAAGTATCATTGATACAAGTAAAGTTGATTTTCCACTTCCAGATGGACCGACGATCATAGCTCTCATCGGCAATTTAGGGACGACCTCGTGCTTGCTTTGCTTAAAGTCATATTTGATTTCATCAATTGGTTTTACATCAGGCATAATAAAAATAATATTATACATACTTATAAAAAAAATATAATATAATTATATCATAATGGCTATAGAATCTATTAATTTAAGTGAAGTGGCTAGTATTCGGAGGATATATAAATTTGGTGATATCTTAGTTCCAGATACTGGCCAACTATATTATGATACGATTTTATTGTTTTTATCGATAATTAAAAAACAAAATATTATAATATCTAAATCATCAATCGAAAACGAGGATACCCTAAATTATAATAAATTAGTAAATTTTATGAAAGATTATTCCTATATATATACAAATGAAATGATAAATAGTGTACAAGAAATTATTAATAATAATATTCTAGATGTTAGTATATCAACTGCAGTAAAACTTACTAAAGAAAATAGTTTAAATACATATTCTATTTAATATTAAATGGAACGGGATTTCCATTGCTTCAATCAATGAGCATTGAAGCTAATTAGTTTGATGCATTGTAAAGAAAACCCCAGTGCTGTGCCCTCCGAATATTCTATCATGCATGAAAATAATAAGATTAAATAAATATTTTATCTTATTATTTATATGACTATTATCCATTGCAGTTGTGGTAAAACTTATGATGACAAATATGTATTTAAACATCTAAATTCAAAACATCATCAGAAACTTGTAAAATATAGATGGAATAAAGACGATACAATGAAACAACTTTACAAGAAAAGAAAGACAGAAATGAAAAAATAATTTATCTTATTATTTAATATGAAAAGGAGTTATACAGATTATATTAATATAATAGATGAAATGGAGAATATAGAACAAGTACTAATAACTGATAATAGATGTAAAAAAATATGTTATTTTATTTTAGAATTAATTAAGTTTTTGATACAATATATTAAAAATATAAATATTAATATAAATGGGAAAAAAGAAAAACAGAAAGAATAAAACAGATACTACAGTTTCTTCAACTGATGAAGAAAAAGAAGAAATTGTTAAAGAAACAGCAGTAATTGAGTTTTCTTGTCCGATGTGTAAAAGGGTGTTAGAGATGAAAAATGAATTAGAAATAAAAAAAAATAAAAAAAAAAAAAATGTAAATGTTCATGTATTCCAACAAGTTTCAAAATAAGTAAAAATGATAAGAAAATGAGTATTGATAAAACTAAAGACAGTATCAACTTAGAAACTGATGTCCATAATATAACTTTTAAATGGGGTAAGGATGCATCACTCTCGGGAAATGGTGATAAGGAAACTCAGGAAACTATTAAACAAATCATGAAAAATTAGTATTTAAAGAGTAGATTTAACATAATTGCACTTTATAAATATATATAATTAAATAAATAAATAAATAAATATCTAATTATTTATATAATCATAATGCCAACTATGAATGGGCAAGACCATAGAATTATAACTTTTGATGATGAAGAAATTAATGATATATTCGATGGTGATAAAAACTTTGCTAGACAATTGAGTATAGAATATTTTTATTGGTTAGATGCTAAATTTAATAATAAATATTTTATGAAAGGTATAACTAAACCGGATAAATTTGATAAAATGTTGAAGTTTTTTGAAATTACAGGTAACGATGAAGGTTTAATAAAATTGAAAAATAAAATTGATGAAAGACTCTTAGAATATAATTTATTTACATATATAACATTCAATTATTCAGGTAAATTGTATAATTAAATAAATAATTATCTAAATAAATATATAGTAATGTCTGAAAATGAGAATTATACTATTAATGGTTTAATGAAGAAGATAACATTAATTGGTAAAAATATCAAAACCTTAAATGATATGATTAAATCGATTGATGACAAAATGAAACCAGTTGAACGCAATGAAGATAAAGAAAAAATCGAAAAGATATTTCAAGCAAAATCTATAGGAAGACCAACGGGTGATTATCCTACAAAGCAAAAGAAATACTGTGATATGTTGAATACAGGAAAAATCAAACAACCTAAAAGCACCACTTTAGAATTTTACAAAATTTCAAAAAATGATGATGGAGTATATGTATTATTTGAATAATTAATATCTAAGTAATTCTAATAATATGAATTTATTAGAATTATTTAGTGGAACAAAAAGCGTCGGAACCATAGCAAAGTCGCTTGGATTTAATGTAATATCATTAGACTTGAAAAATGCTGATATCAACACTGATATTTTGGAGTGGGATTACAAACAGTTTTACAGAAACCATTTTGATTTTATTTGGAGTAGTCCCCCATGCACTGAATACAGCATAGCAAAAACTAGGGGAATTAGGAATATCGAATATGCAAATAGTATTGTCTTAAAAACTATTGAGATTATCAAATATTTCAATCCTACATATTTTGTAATCGAAAATCCACAAACTGGATTATTAAAACATCCGGAGTTTATGGATGAGTTTGATTTTAAAGATGTTGATTATTGTAAATATGGAATGCCTTACAGAAAACGCACTAGGCTCTGGAATAACATTACAACTTGGAAACCTAGAGAATTATGTAAAAAGGATTGTGGCAACATCAGGAATAATAAACATATTGAAACTGCACAACGGCTACCATCAGGCACTAAGGAAAAATGGGGTGACAATCCAATAATACATAAACAGGACGACCTATATAAAATACCTAGTGATTTAATATTGGAAATTTTGATGAGTTTAAATTAGGGGGGTTCATCACAACATCCACCAACAGTGTCACCATGTAATCCCTTGTCCCGCGGAATTTAAGATGACATGATGTCACATTAAAACCCTTCAACTGACAAAACCCTAATCCCCACCTAAATTAAGGATTTTTAGGCATATTTCTAGAGGGCACGGAATTTCAGATGACATGATGTCATGATGTCACTACAAATTCCTTGGGGTGACTTCATGTCATTTGAAAATCCTTGGGGGCAAAAACCCTAAAACCATACTATAATGATAACATTTATACCCTTATATGTTATAATTATAATGTAAAATGACTTAAAGGAATAAATACTTAATATAATAAGAGGAAAATGCCAATGATAGGAGTGACAGAAAAAGAGCTGGAACAGGATAGAAAGATAATATTGAGTTTCATTAAGGATAATCCCTATCCATCGTATAAACAAGTCATTGAAATAATTAAAAACGATAAAACAATGAAAGATATATATCCAGATATGTTCGCTGAGTATGGAGAACAAAATCATCAATGGATAAAAGAGATTTACGAAAACATAATGAAAGAAGAACTCGTTAAACGTAATGGTAATAGTATTAATGAAAGAGGAGGAATGACAACAATGCATTGTAATTATTATACTTTGGTATCAGTGTTGCGTTATTTAATACAACAAAGAGCACCAATGAAAGATTATGACGTTAACTTAATCTGGTATAATATCAGAAACATTTTGAGCAGTTCTTGGAACAACATAGGAGACTGGAAACACTAAAAACAGGTTTAATCATACTATGATTATCACATGTAAACTAATTATATGTTATAATTGTAATATATTTATCGTTTGTAAAGATTGAATTATTATATTTTCCTAATTTGCTTATCTCTTTCAAAGTGCGTTGTTTAGACTTGGCATGCTCTTTTGATTTTTTCGTGCTTTGGCTGTTTGTTTTTGTTTTGTTTGATACTCTTGTGATATTTTTTGTTGGTATGTTGCTTTGTTTTTTGTTGATGTGTGTTTTTGAGTTTGGGTTCTTTGATGATTTAGAGTGTTGCTGTTTTGTTGGTATGCTTGTTTGAATTATTTAATGTTGCATGCTGTGATTAAATATTTTTGTTGCTGGTTGTGATTATTTATTTTGTTTGCTTGTTGTTCTGGATTTTGTTTTCTGTTTGTTGTGTTGCTGTTGGAAAAAAAAATAGTAGAAAGAATAATTCTTTGAATTCTCCTTTTACTATTTTTGGGTGTGGGTGTGGGTGTGGGTGTGGGTGTGGGTGTGGGTGTGTGTTTGTGGGTGTGTTTGTGGGTGTGTTTGTGGGTGCGTGCGTGCGTGCGTGCGTGCGGGTGCGTGCGGGTGCGTGCGTGCGTGCGTGCGTGCGTGCGTGCGTGGGTGGGTGGGTGGGTGGGTGGGTGCGTGTGTGTTTGTGTGTGCTTGTGCTTGTGCTTGTGCTTGTGCTTGTGTGTTTGTCTGTGTTTGCATGATTGTTTGTGTGGGTTTGTGGGGGTTTGTGTGTGTGTGTGTGGGTTTGTGTGTATGTGTGTGTGTGTGTGTGTTTGTGTATGCTCTCCCCCCTATGCTGGAGTGTTTCTAATTTCTACGATTGTGTACTCGTGTGTGTGCGACTCGCGTCAGTGTGATTTCCGGACCGGAGCACAAATGGAGCCTCGCCTGGAAGCTGTGGAAGACTGCAACGGCAGGAATCGCCCAAGGAATCCAGCCAGCCATGGTCATCACCTGGCAGAATTCCCCAGATATCCATGATGTTCTTTAAACAAAAAAATAAATAAATAAACTAAAACAAAAAAAAATGTTGGAGGAAGATAGGCCAGGTGTGCCAAAGCAGAGATGCCCGCCGAGGTTCAATGCCAGGCGCTGACCTGGCTGTTGATTTTTCCGCCCGTTCCAGGGACCTTTGCCTGAGGGCAGCTCCAATGCCAGGGACCTTCGCCAGATCTGCAGCCGTGCTGAACGCACCGTGCTGCTCACGATAGGCGACCTGAGCCGTGCAAGACACGCAGTGACATGGAACAAGCGTCAGGACTGCGCAATCTTCTCCGCCTTCGCCCTTGGCCGCTTTTTGACACGACAAAACCATGTTTGGCCCTCGCAGGCCTGCCAATCCCAGGAAGTGACAGCAAGTCATCCACCGAGGCATCGTTCACGTTCAAAAGGCCTGACAAAACCCAAGCATGCATTCTTTGACATGATGCAGAAACCTTGCCAGGCTCTTTCATACAGGTGCCATATGGCTTGATCTCTCATATCCAGCGGCTTGCTACTTGCCAGCTCCAAGCATTCCAACAAAACAAGCTTCGCCCACCAAAACAGGTCGTCTGCAAGTCCTCGAGTCGCTGCCAGGCCTGACGAGCTGGATGCATCTGACCTTGGAGCCGGAACGCAGACCAGGGACCCTGGCCCGTGGCCAAGAAAAGGTCTTGTGGGTCCATAGCAAAGCTCTGGGTTGGACCTGTAAAGCTCTGGTCCTGAAGTCGGCCTGACTTTTCGCCGAGGGGCGCCGAGTCCTCCTGCCATAAGGATGCGCTGCAGCCCATGGCGATCACTGTCCAGCGCTCGGGAGATGCCGCGAGCCGTGGTCTCACACCGCTGCCAGGGAAATGAAACGCATGACTCATGTCTAAAAGCTCCAGCTTGAGGCTGGCGTTGTGGTGGGTTCATGAGGGTTTTGATTGGGAAAGCGCCTACAAACTTTATCATAGCACTACTGCAAGCCCGAGCTTGGGCAGGCAAATGTACGTTTGCCTTGCCGTTGAGCGAGCGACACAAACCCGCAAAATGAGGACGAATCAGGGGAAGCTCGCTTCGACATATTGTGCTCTTGGCTTAATCTGGTATGAGTCATTGCAAGACTAGCTGCGCACATGCTTTGCATGGACGCTGGGCATCGCCCAAATCATTATCTTTGCATTCAATTCATGCAGCTGATCCCTTTTGGGCTTCGCTGCTGCACGTTACGGACAGAACTACTACATGCAACGTTTCTTCCCAACAAAGCGCTCACTGCCACGAGGCCATCCTGACGTTCCGCAAGTGTGAGTGTTGAGACAGGTCAGCGTGTCAGATTCAACGCTTCAATTCTCGGCCGGCAGAAACAGCATGGAAAGCTTGCTGGCGAGGTTCTCTGCTTCACGGTACAGCTGCAAGAGCCTGGATCATGCTCAGCCTTTCTTGGACTGGTTCCGACGTTCAGCCCGCTCAGCCAAAGATTTATGGCTGGCTTGGGATTGCTGTGCCATAGACCTCCTGAGTGCGTGCAAAGGCACAAGCCAATTCGTGTCTCAGACTGAACGGAACTGACAAAAACTTCAAATGAGATGTAAGCATTTCAAGGAAACTTGAATCTCCGACTGCACCTTGCCGGGGAGCAAAGAAGCAACTGCTGGAGGTTGCCGACCCCCGTGGGTGCGGACCCACGAATCCTGCTGCGGCGGATGCATACCTGAACGGGGCCGACTTGCTCGCACTCTCGAATACACTAAGTTACTAGGGTCCGTACTTCGCAAGCCCGGATTGATCTCTGTCTTGTTGAAGGTAGGTGAGACCCGTGGAGCTTGTGGAGGTTCGGCAGCAAGGACCTGCAAGGATTACTCTGCAAACGAGATTTTCGGAGATCCCCAAACATTGATAGCCACTCACGAGTAGAAAAATGCTAGACTCCAAGCCATAGCTAACAACCTAATGCACAAGAAACCGGCTGCAGTCACCTCAAATCCAAGCACATCGCCAAAGCATCGCCCTCTGGCAGCCGAGGAGCAAGTGGGTCGGGGACGGCACGCTGTGCCGCTGTGCTCCGCTGCGTGTTGAGTTGACTCCGCTGCGTCATGAGTTGACTCCGATGGGTCATGACGCCTGAACGCCTCAGCGTGGAGGCATGGTACGTGTATCAAAACACTTGCTACCGATAAATGATTCACATACCGGAAAATTGTAATTGGCCTGTGTGAGCCAAGTTCCAACCGAGCAACCAACGAACATGTTCTGAACAGGGACGACACTCAGCAAGGTAAGACGATTGCTAAAACCTTGCCCTGACGGCCGTGACACATTGAGGCCGCTTTTGACGGCCCCCGGCTGTTGTCCAGGAAGGACTCCTCTCCACCGAAGTCCCGAGAGAAATCGAACCCATCCTGCGGTCTGAAGTCTCTGCAGCTCCCCTATTGCGCAGTTGAATGTTCAGGCAAGGAAAGCGTATCGTTTGGTCCTCCAGCTCGTCCATGGGGCTAGATTGCGGAGACAACTGCTCCAAGGGGTAGCTGCTTTGCGTTCGACTGCAAGAAGAGATCAACAAGATTTCGATTATGCAGACAATCTGACCACCAAAGCAAGCATGTCACATCCCGAAATGAAAAGGGAAACACACAGAGAGAGAGAGAGAGCGAGAGAGAGAGAAAGAGAGCGAGAGAGAGCGAGAGAGAAACAAAGAGAAAGCACGCGAGAAAGAGCGAGAGAGAGCAACCGAGATACGGAGAGAGAGATAGAGAGAGAGAGAGAGTGTGAGAAGGAGAGAGAAGAGCGCCAAAAAGAGTTCAAGCAGGATGATGCAAACTGCTCATGACAACATATTGCTTGCCTTGTGAGTGACAACTCCATCTGCATCTCTGCCGATGCAGAGGATCGCAGGATTGATTGAGGAGCAATGTCCTCGATGGCACCTGCTGCTGGCTCTGCGAAAAGGCTTTCTGCATGTCTGTGAGGCTAGCAACACACTGCAGGCTTGTCCGCAAGAAGCATCCTCTTGTCAAGTCAGTAATTTGTTTGTCTCTGCACATGTGCGTGACTCAATCAGCAAGTCCAACAATGATTCCCTTGGCCAACGGATCCGGCCTGGAATGCCGCGGTTGTCTGCTTCAACTTCTCCTTCAGGACCTGCGAATTGCTCATCATGAATCCCAGCCAACAGGAAACGTACGAGGGAAAACCTCTGCACGCAGTCTGGGAGTGGTCATCTTGATCCATGCTCAAACATGTACACTTTGCACGTTGGTTTGAAACCTACCCAACCATGAGCAGACCGACCTGCTTCGGCGTCCATAAGCGCTGCTTGCCGAAGTGCTTCCTCCTCCTGGCATGAACAAGTACATCAGCCTACATCAAGCCATTGCATCATGTGGCATCTGTTCAGCCGGCGCCAAGTCCGACAGCTCCTCTGGAGAGGCATTCGCTGCGCCATCCTGCGTGGTGCTTCAAGCCGGCATTTGGCTGTGGCTCAAAAAATGACACCCAAAATGGAACCCCGGTAAATGAAAAAAAAGATCGAAACCTCCGTAACCCTGACTCTTTAAACTTGAGCCACACGCGTTTCACAAAAGCCACTTGCGGGCTTTCGGGTAGCATTCAATTCAACGTGCGGCCTGCAGGCTGAGCGCTTTCGAGGCAGCGCGGGAGGGCGCCCTGGAGCCCAGCGAAAGCTTTGACCCCGCGCGCGAGGACGCCCTGGAGGCGGCCCAGGAGGCGGCGCGGGAGGTCTTGGAACCGGCCCGCGAGCTCACGCCCTGCAGTAGGGATTCGATTACACGGTGTCTCCATGACCCTTGGAACATGGGGTCATGACGTCATGACGTCATCCTGTATTTTGGGTAATGAACCCCATGTTTAGAGGGTCACGGAGACTCCAGTTGCAGCAAATCCGAGACATGAGGAAACGAGCTGCCCCGCCTCAGATCTGTCCTCAAGTGCCATGGGGTTGAAGAACTCCACGATGGGGCCTGCGTCCAAACCTGGGGCAATTCTTGCTCAAGGGCAAAGCAACGAAAAGAAGCAAGGAATGAATCAATTGAATCAATGGAATCAGCCAGGGAGCTCTCTTGAGGTTGCTCGCACTCCTCGGGCTCGTCTTCGACTGCGTCGTCCGTCGCCGACGCTGATTCTGACTGGATGACATCCTTAGACTCGTTCATGTCGAATGCCTCCTTCGATTCAGTGCCGAAGACTTCTTTGGAGAACTCGATGGCGCTTCCCCCGGCTGCAGCAATTTCGAGGTAAGCCTGCAACCTCTCCTCCCTGTTCGGCTCCTCAGGAGGAACCTCCTCCTCCACCTCATCGTCCAGCTTCTCCCAGTCCTCCATGCACGCCGCACGCTGCTGGTCGACGAAAGCCTCGTCGTCCTCTCCCGTGTCCTTCCTCCGCCGGATTTCCCTCTGCAGGATGCGCCGCAGGACAACCTCTTCAAGGATGCTTCCAATCGCCACGCCTATCCACACAGCCGTGAAGGCACCGAATAAGAAATTCCAGGGGCAAAGCATGCAAGCTGCGAGGACGGTGGCAAAGAACCCAATGAGCTGGGGAAGGCTGTTCATCAAACGATACACAGTCAAGGCTGACACATTTGCCAGCACGATGGCTGCTACCGTCATGATCAGTTGATGCTCGATGGGAGAGAAGGACCAAAGTGACTTTATCCAGTCCCGCAGAACTACCGTAACAAGGGTGCATGTTGGTATGGCTGTCAAAGCTGGAAAAAATAGGACTGTTCGCAAGACCAGCCAAGTTGGAGAGTCTCTCCAATCGTAGTCCGGATTAATTGTCGCCTTGACAACAGGTGGCAGGTTCTCTACCAGGACCAATCGTAGCGTGATGAACTGAATTGCCACAGCTAGCACGCCCAGACCGATGCTCCCACGAATGGTCCACCGGTCACCGAGGCTTTTCTGAAATTCGAAAGCATCGGCCATGGGGCTGTCAATGGCCAAGCCAGCCTCCCCAGCATAGACTGCAAGGACCCCAAGGCCTCCACCTGTGAGCAAGGACATGAAAAGCTTACTCACCAATTGGAAGACATTCCTCTTCACCTTCTCATCCGCATTGGGAGCTGTTTGCTCAAAGAGCGCGTTGATGAGCAGGCTGAGCAAGCTGAAGGCGTATCCTCCCCCGGAGCCAATGAGAATTGCTTCGACTGTGGTGCCCCAGCCTGTTGCCAGAAGACTGCCAGAGATGATGCTGGCAGCCGTTGCGCCAGACAGAACTTGCCCTGTGATGGTGCGAGGGATGTCCGTGTTTCGCGTCACTTGGCCCTCAGACCGGCTGATAGCGAAATACACCCCACTCAAGCCGTAGCTCAGAATCGCAGGGATCAACTTCTCGAGCGCAGCTTTCAGAAAGGACAGTCCAAACCCAGCAAGAATCACATAGGTTCCCTGTTCCACCAAATTCTCTTCAGTAAGAGTGAATACTCCCATGAACAGGTAGACCAGCATTGACACACTTGTGGCACGTTTTAGAAATGGCACGCCATACTCTATTGAATGGGCAAGTAAGGTTGCTACAAACAAATATGCCCACATCAGAGCGTTCTTAGTGCCTTTTGTGTGTTGCCTCTCAACCATGTGGACCCTCATGCAGCTCATCTTGGTTCCAATGTAAATTAGCGGCGGGTCATTCAAGTACTCGCATGCTTTCGCCACCACTGCTCCATATGGCACAATCTGTACTGCTGCACTGACTGTTCTTCCCGTGGCGGTCATCATCAGGTCGTACCGCACGTGGATCTTGTTGCAGTATTTGCAGGCTTGTGGATCCCGGAGCTCCATGGAATACACGTGGGCGCGCTCGCGGACCAGGTACGCGTCGATGTTCCAAGGATCCCACCAGACGCCAAACAGCGTGGGCAGCGCCGCCCCAAAGACATCGAAGCGGAACATTCCGCCGTCGTCACCGGTCCCATCTGGATCCAGAGCAGCCAAGTCTATTCCCAGAAAGCCGGCCACCCGCGAGGTAATGTAGTCCTGCCCCACAAAGTGGCCGTTGACGCACAGAAAGACAAAGATCAAGCCAAGTATGGACGATCCTGTGAGCAGAATCCGGCCCACAAAAATGGCGAGCGTGTCATCATAGGGACACACCCAAGTGGAAGCAACAAAGGGATTTGCGAAGGCCAGGGCTCTTGTAAACAGCACCATAGTCATCTGCACGGCCGCAAAGGACGCACCCAAGCAAAGCAGGATCAAGCTCTGCGCCAAGATTCGCTGGCACTCGGGCCGCGTGGCTTTGACAACCTGCCGCGCTGCAACGAAAAGCCCGAAGAGGTCGTAGTTCAGCCATTGGGATGCCCCGTAAAGGATCATCACCAGCGCCACCGAGCCCGCGAGTGCACAGGAGCCCTCGCACAGAGGGATGCCTACCAGCTGTCCCAATGTCCAGGAGATCAGCTGACTGGTGAGGTACATGATATCGTAGAGCAGCATTGCAGGCTCCCGCAAACTTTGCAGCAAGCCTGGAAAGAGCTCAACCACCTTGTCCGCTTCAATGTTCACGATGGCTTCTACGGAGAGCATTTGGGCCCTGACAATGAGCAAGTCAAAAATGAACTTTCCAAAGAAGGCCAAGCCCCAAACGATGGTCGTGGCGACGCCAGCAGCGATGTCAAAGGCTGAGGACATGCCATCATCCTGGTTGACCAGGACCTGCGACACTTCCTGTCGCAATTGCTGGTCTCTAAGGTCCAGCGGATCAAAGGGGGACTTGAAGTACCTGATGACCTGGCAGAGTTGCAGAGCGGCCCAAATCATGATCTCCCCAGCAATGGCACCAAGCATCAACCAGGGTGCCATGCCACTCAGCAGGGACCCAAAGACCAGAAACAGCAGGGATCGGTAAAGCTCCGTGGGCTTCGGCAGTCGGTTCTCCGGCAAGATGAACCAACGGATGATGCTGCTCACCTGACTCTTGCTGGTGGCCAGAAAGGTGCGCCAGCCCAGCAAGGGCCAGGCCGCGATCACCAGCAACCTCCGGAGGAAAAGGCGGCGCCCAGAGTCCTCCATCGCCTCTAAGACCCACAGCCTGGCACGCTCCTCCACATCGATGGGCATGAGTATGGCTGCCAGGTACAGGGCAACCGTCACTGCAAGGCCCACCCAGGGCAGCACATTTGACATCCAAATGGTGGAAAACTCGAAGCTCAACTTGTCCCTAGTATCTGTGAGGCTGATCTCGTCAGCGAAAATAGGCTCTCCGGCCAAGAAACCACAGCAGCATCGGTTATTTGATTCCACCAAGTCACCGATGGGGCAGCAGGTTCCAGAAGTGCCAAAGACTGTCACGCACCTGGGGTGCTTAATGCAATACGGCTCTGCAAGCAGCGTCACAGCACCTGTCAGTTGGACTATACATTTCTCGCTATCTCTCCGCCCACGTTGCTCCACGATCGTCTCCTGAAACATTCGCTTCTCACTGAGCCTGGAGGGGCACTCGCCTACATTCTTGAACTCTGCGCCCAAGTGCACGGGGTCTCTGTAGTTGAATTGGGTCTTCACAGCAGGCACAGGTGGGCGGCGAAACCAAGATGCCTGAAGGGCTCTGTATGGCGGCCACGGATATATATATATATATATATATATGTGTATACATAAATATATGCTATCCCCCCTTCCAAAACCTAGGTTTCAGCAGTCTTCAGACGGATTGGCACCAGTGTGGAATTCCGGAGAAGAGTTTGTCATGTTGTTTTTCCTTTTCTTAATGAGATGGGCTCTCAGCTAGACTGTGATTGAAGCATTTGTTGCAAGCACAGATGGAAACAAAATGAAGACAAACGATGACTACCAGAAGTCCTATACCATCTACACTAGCCTGTATTAGGAAAATTATGGAAAGGCATACTGCGGTGCAAGGGGAATTGTTGTTCTAGATATGCACAAAGAACGAAAAATATACTGGAATTGCAACTGAATCGCAGGTAGCACATATCCTATAAGATATCTTCTAGGGCACCTATACTAAGTAAACAAGCAGTTGTAGAAGGTGCGCTTGCTGAAGTCTTCTTTTCAACTCGTATAAACACTTACGATGAACTATTCTATCTGGAAGAGAAGGGTGTAGGTAAATAAAGTTCTGTAGAGCGCGTGATGCAAATTCAGGTTCAACTGGGCCAGTTCATGCTTTAAGTAAACAATCAACAGAAAGTAGATCTCAAGTAGGTGGCCTATGGATGAATGGCGAAAAAGAACATAGTCGCATATGGGGCGTCAGACTTAATTCTAGAACGACTTAATACAGGCCTTAGTGAGGTTTTAACTTGCTCACAGTGTGGTGAACGAACTGATTTAGAACATGACAAAGCAAATAAATGTAGCATTTGTTGAAAGATACAACAATGGTCAGAATGCTTCTTGTAGCTGCAGCTTCAGCTTGGGCGAATTTACCTAAAACAGTAGCAACATGACCCAAAATCTTGGACAGATGCATACTTATCAACTTCTGGCAAGGTGAACAATGACAGAATCATAGAAAAAACGCGCTGGAAACATGCGTGGGTTTCATGGTTGGCACGGTTCAATGGCCCCGTTTACTTCTGGAAGTTTACTTTAGTAAGCTTTTCCCAGTAAGTGTACAAAAGTACAAGTAAAACGGTTGGACCCATCAAATGTAAAAGTTAAAGTGCAAAAAGTAAATGTGTTTTAGATCAGGCAGTTTCACTTATGGTGCTCTTGTTTTTCCCAGAAAAACCGAACAAGTACAAACAATGCCAAAAGTAAAGCATTGCTTACTTCAGGCAGTTTCTTTCTAACCGCCAGTAAAAAAGTACAATTCATAAGTATTTTGTTACTTTGAGCAGTTTTACTTTTTACTCTTCATGGGCCCAAAAGTGTCACTCTGTACTTTCTTACTTTTGCCCAGCATTTGTTTAAGGGGACGTTTTCACCTTTCGCCAGGACAAGTACACAAGCAACAAGTAGTTGTTTGGACCCATGAAAAGTAAAACAAAGACCAGCTTTTTCTTGTGGGAGTTGTACTTGTTGCCGTTTATTGGGGAAAAGTAAAAAAAAAGTCAAAGCTTCCTGGATTACTCTTGGCACTTCTTTTAACAGGGGGAAAACAAACAATAAATCAAAATGTTCTGAATTAAAAACAAAAGGGTGACGGTTGGCACTTCTACTTTGTACTTTCCATGGGTCCAAAAGTTGTACTTGTTACTCGTTACTTTTTTCTGGGGAAAGTAAAAGATACACCTTCCTGAAGTAAAAGCGTCTTACTTGTGGCTTTTACTTGTTTGTTTTACTGGGAAAAGCACACAGGCAAAAGAAGCAGAACTGTCTGAAGAAAAATAAACAGGTTTACTTCCGCACTTTTACTTTTACTTCTTATGGGTCCAAAAGTTGTATTTTGTACTTTGACTTTTTACTTCTACTGGAGACAGGGCAAAAAGAAAACGTCCAGACGTAAAAACGGGCCAATGAAAAGTGCCAAACATGGAAACTATGGTCTTGCTCCAGTGTTTGTTCTATTTTGCTTGAATTATGCAGGATTTTTCTGTCATTGTTCACCTGAAGTAGATAGGTATCATTGTTTCAGAGCTTTTGGGGTCATGTTGCCACTGTCTTAGGCCTTCCAAGGAACAAACCTGGCTTTTGGAGGAGGTACCATACATGTGTATATACATATATATATATATATATATATCTCGATATTAGTATTAAACACATGCACTATCAGATTCTTCAGTCTCGACTCGCGAAGGAAACCCCGAACCCCCTCTTCGAACCCCCCCCCCCGAACCCCCCGAGCCCACTCCCGAACCCCCCGAACACCCCCAGACCCCCAAACCCCCCCCCAAACCCCCCCGCAAACCCCCCGAACCCCTCCCCAACCCCCCCCCAAACCCCCCCGAACCATCCCCCCCCGAACCCATCCCCCCCCGAACCCCCCAAACCCCCCAAATTCCCCAAACCGCCCAAACCCCCCCTGAGCCCCAAACCCCCCCAAACCTCCCGAACACCCCGAACACCGAACACCCCGAACACCCCAACCACCCCGAACCCCCCCCCCCCAAACCCCCCCCCCAATCCCCAACCCCCCAAACCCCGCCCCCGAACCCCCCCCCGAACCCCCCCGAAACCCCGAACACCCCAAACACCCCGCAACACCCCGCAACACCCCGCAACCGCAACACCCCGGAACACCCCGGAACACCCAAACCCCCCAAACCAAACCCCCCAAACAAAACCCTCCAAACCCCCAAACCCCCAAACCCCCAAAAGGATCAGCACAGCACCTCAGCAAACACCCTTAAACGAAACCCCTTTCTAATATGAAACCCCGCAAGTATCCCACAAGTATCCCACTCCCGTCCTCCACCCATTCAGAGCCGTTCCAGCGCTGGAGCTGCATCTCGTCGGCTGCGTCGCAGCATCGAGCTGACTCCCAGCGAGACTGAACCATCGACACGCAGCGCACCTCCCGGGCACTGGACCATTGCATACCTGGCAGGGCTAGAAACGCAGAGCTTCGTTACAAGAAATGGCAACGTTACCTTGCCGCTTACGCCTCCGTTCAATGTTTGTTTCATTCACTCACATAATTTGCATCACATCACCCGCATCACCAGCACCACCAGCCCTACCGGCCCCCTTCAACATCACCAGCATCACCAGCACCACCGGCACCAGCCCCACCAGCATCACAAGCATCGCCAGCATCACCAGCATCACCAGCATCATCAGCATCACCTGCATCACCAGCATCACCAGTAGGTATGCACCAGCGCTGGTGCATGTGTGCGCGCCATCAGCAGGGACTTTTGGGATGTGGGACTCAATCAAGACCTTTCACGAAAAGGCTGGACATCACCAGCCATGACCTTTGTTGCACTGAACGAACGGGATCAGATGAAAGGTCCCCCCACTCATGGGAACCTTTTTATCCGTTTGAAACAGAGACATTTGGCAAAGAAAAAGAAAACACAAAACAGGTCAGGAGCGGTATTTGCATCAGCAGCATTCCCCCTCATCACACACAGCTTCCCCAACTGCCTTACCATTGTTACATGCACCGCACGCGTGATCCTTGACACACGACTGCTACCAGTACCTTTGCAGACCTGAAATGTCGATGGTGTGAGCCGGAGGTGTTGAAGTGAGCAACTAAGGAAAAGCCCATGCGCACACACAAACACACACACACACACATACACACAACCAGCATAAACAGGTTTTAATAATTTCTGTCTTGATCAACATTCACACCAAATTCCCTAGAGGTGTTGTTCTGCCAATCTACAAAGAAATGTTCTTTGATCTGTTCAAGACACAATGAGCAGCAACGGGTGGAACCGACGAACCCTGCTGACGGCTTTGTAGCTTGTTGGACTCCCCACCTACCCAAGCACCGGAACAGTTGGTGAAGTCTGTGTCGACGAGCTCAAAGCCGGTGCGGCAGTTGGCTGCCCACGTGGTCAACAAGTCATCATCCACCATGCGGCTTGCAGAGTATGAGGGCTGGTCCACCGCAGAGGGTGTGAAGACATCGAAGCCGCCAGAGGTGATGGATGCGCCAGCAGGGATCTGCTCTGCGCAGTCATCGTCGCTGAAGAACTTCAGGTCTGAGATACCCCACGGGCGTTGCGTGATTCGTGTCAGCTGATTCGGGCACGGCACGTCCTTTCTGGACAGGTACAGCAAGCGCCACATCGTGTTGCCGGCCGCTGGCCTGCGATTCCAGTCGCTTCCACCCAAGCCGCCCAGCTCCCATTGCTTCTGCCAGGCTCTGCCATCCCATTTCGAGACCCAAACAGAGCGGCTCTGCATACTTTCAAAGCCAACTTGCAGGATGCGCACGCACTTCACATGCTCCACAGTGGTTCTGGCTCCCAGGTCCAGACCAACCCAGGCATCTGAGACATTGCAACCAATGCTGGGTTCCACAAGTTCGAAACCTAAAGGCCGGTGCAAATTCTGCACTCTGCAGCACTGCGACAGCCAGACGGTGGTGGTGTTCCCATCCACTGCGTTGGCAGGACCTCTGCTCGCAGGAGGCGCATAGCCGCTGGCGATGACTTCGCCTTGCAGCAAGTCAGTGCAGCCACTGTCTTTGTGGAGCTCGACTTCATAGAGCGCCCAGCCCTCGGGCACTACGTCAGCGTTCTCCACGCGCCACAGCGACCCCGGCTGGGCGGGTCTCCGCTGCCAACCTCCACCGCCCAACCCATCCAACTGGACCTCCACTGGGGACATCTCCGGGTCCTCGCTGCGCCAATCCTTGCCATCCCAGAGCTCCAGACGTACTGAGGGCACGTACTCCATTGGCATGGAGCCTTGCATCAGCTTCACACACCGCACCCACATTGCGGAAGACAAGTAATCCACGCCCAGGAAGCCTGGGCGAGCTCGGCCAGGCATGTGATCGATGAGAATGCTCGTGGTGGGGTCCTCATCGCTGAGCTGCTCCGCCTCCGACCACATCTTGCCCTTGCCCGCACGCCGGAAGCCGGTGACGAAGGGCACGTAGCTGGACGCCAGGACGGACTCCCCGCCGAAGGTGCCGGCCATGGGCAGCCGCTGCTGGCACATGGAGTCTGCGTAGAGCTCCAGCTCCAAGAGCCGCCAGTGCCGGTCCTCTGGAACGTCCGGCACCAGGCGCCAGCGCGTCATGAAGCTGGCGGTGGGCCGACTCCACACGCCCCCGCCGATGTCAGACAGGGACCCCGTCTGCGTGATGGGGGAGATGATAAAGATCTCCCCGTTCCAGAGCTGAACCTGGGTGCTAATCATCTGCTGCTCCATGCGCTCGCTCTGCCACACCCGGAAGCATCGCACTAACAAATCCCCTGCTTCTGCATCCTTGGCGTCTGGAGGCAGCTCCACGCCGATCCAGTACTTCCGGGTCTCATTGCAGGACTCATCGCAGTTGGCCGTCCACATGCTGGTGGCATCATCGTCCATGGCAAGGCCTGGCTCATCCCCCAAGAAGTAGCCACTCGCCAAGGGCTGACCTGGAGTCATGGAAACCAGGCACAACGGGTCCCTGTAAGCGCGGACCTCACAGGGAACAAAAAGTGATACAGAAAACCATCAACGAAAACAAGCGACAAAGATGCAGTATGTGGCTGGTGACTCTGTTCGGCACGCTTAGGCAAACACCTTCTTTACAGTGGGATCTTTGCAAAGGCCGTACCAAGGGTCATCTTTGGAAATATCGGATGCCAAACCCGGAGCCTCTGGAACTCGCCACTGCGCTTCGATCTCCTCGTTGTTGCGTATGCGCCAAATGGTCCAGGGCAGCGCGGGGCGCCGATTCCAGGTACCGCCGCCTATCTCACGGTGGTAGCTGTGCAACTGCCAGTTCCCCTCGATGTACATGCCCATTGACAGGAAGGAGGACTGCCTCTGCAACTCCTTGGACCTCAGATTTCAGTCGACGCAATCTGGCTGTGGCACAACCCCTAACTCAACAACACAATCCGCTTCGCAACGCTATCGGTCCCGGGTGCTGCAGGATTCGGAAGCACTTGACATCAGGCTGCTGGCCGCGCACGTAGAGACCCAGCCAGGCCTCCCCTGGGATGCAGCCGCCGCCCAGCCCCTGGGAGCAGCTGGAAACCCAGGCGAGATCCTGCCTCAGATCTCCATCGAACGCACGCCGCGTGTCCAGGTGCCGCGGGCCTTGCATGGCCAGGGGGGAACCCCTGAGCTTCGAGTCCTCCTCAAGGCAATGCTCCGAGGAGTAGAACTCCAGCTCGTGCACCATCCACTGGCCCCGCGTGTAATCGTCGTTGGAGATCCGCCAGCAGGACCTGCTCGGAGGCCTCAAATCCTCCCAGACACCTGGGGCATTGCCCACGAAGGGCGTGTCCAACGTGGGCTCCAACACACCCCACGTCGCCTTCGCATCCCACCACCGCTCAGTGGTCACCCAGTCCTCACCCGACCATCGCTGTAAGCCCATGCCTGCAGACCAGCTGCGGCGCTGCTCTCGCTCTGTGATGTCTCGGGGCGTCTTCTGAAAGTAGCGCACGCAGCGCACGCTGCTGGCCGACGGGAACTCAAGACCAATGAAGGCCTGCTCCGGCTCACACCCATAGAACCTCAAGCCGTCCCCCCAAATTTCCGCGGCCTTTGAGCCAGCCACGTCAGGACACCTCGCAGTCCAAACACTGGTGACATTGTTGTCGAAGGCGTTCAACTCGCCGTCCCTGAGTGCATCGTCGCTGCCAATGGAGAATGCTTGCCCAGTTACGGGGAATGTACAGAGGACATCCTCAAAAAAGTGCAGCTCAGACAAACTCCATCGTCCCAATGTAACCTCTAAATTGGTCACCCTCCACAGAGTGTCAAAGGTTGCTGGCCTTTTGGACCACCCACCACCGCTTACTCCATGAAAAGCGTGAACCACATCGTACAAATAGTCGTTGCGATTATTGGGCTTCCATCCGCGCACAATTCCCACATCATCGCATTTGTGTCGAGGATCTGCACTTTGCCAAATATAAAAGCATTTCACTGTGATGGCATCGAAAAGCGGACCAGACACGTTCCAGAGGTCGTCCTTCTTTGCGACTGCGGCTATGTAAGCATCCATATAGGAAATGTCCACACCCACACCAACAGTTCTCTCTTCGCATCCTCCCAGCTGTACCCGGCAATCTGAGGTCCAGTTTGTCCAGGTCGCACCATCGAAGACGTTTGCTCCGATTGTCTCAAACTGGGTCTCTCTTTGGGTGCCGGTATCATAAACGTCCGTGAAGAATGGGGCAATTTGAGTCTGCGGGTCACAGTTGGCTGCAAAAAAGAGTCGCAGCTCATAGATGACCCAGGGACCTGCAGTCGGAGACTCATTGATAATGCCGACTCTTGTATGAACAGTGCGTGGGATGCTTTGGATAACTTGCCCACATGCCAGACTCCAAAGGCAGGCGAAGAGCAGCATGAGGTTCATAGAACCTGCTCCAAGCAGTCCTAAGTCATGCTGGCACCATGTCTCAAGCAGCAAAACCAACAAGACATGTTTTCTTGCGCGTTGGCTGCTGGCTATTGCATCTGTCGTGTAAAAAGGTTCAATGGCTCCAGGTTGCAAGCCCTTGGTGGCATAAGCAATGCAGTCATGATGTGTGTTTCCCCGTGCGGGATGAGTCTGAGCAAGGACGATTGCCAGCCACGCAAAATGCAAGCTTTGCCCTTCAGTGCACTTCTGCCATTTAAGTCTCTGTGGCTGTTGCTTCAGCCCAACCCCAAGGAATCCCAGGGTCCATCACCAGCCGATCTCCTTTTTCCGACGAGGGCTGGACCAGGCTTGGCCTGTCCCGGCCCTAATTCATGCATGGCTGGATTGGCCAGTCTTTGGCGTCGGTGTTCGTCTTGTGCTTCGAGCAGCCGGGCACTTCATGAGCAATCCACCAACTTCTCCAAGTCCTGGTATGTTTTTCCCCATGGACTTTATTTCATCTCACTGACTCACTGACTCATCACGATGCCACGGAGCAGCGATCTGTCTCAATTAGAGAATGGAGAAACAATAAACATGTTGGGAAGGCTGGGAAGGGTGTAAACACGTACAGTAGATCCTCTATAGTAGCGCACTCACGCAGCAACCCATTGTGCATGGCACGCACCTTGACGTCACCAGCAATGGTATTCCTGCACGGCAAAAGCATTGTGCTGGCCTGGAGCCGACTGCGTTATGCCTCAATTCCAGGCGTCGGTGGTTGGCCGCTGTCATCTCCTGTGCGATCCTCAAGCGGCCTCACATCCAGGATCGTATCTTTGTCATCAAAAAACCGCCCATGGCATGTAGATAGACCGGTGAGTGGTCTTCCACACTCGCTATTGCCAACATTGGGAGGCTTAGAGGTGGAGAAAGGAGGAGGGAGGAGAACACCACCGATGTTCCAACGGCAGCGGTGCCCTTAGCATGATTTTGTCTCTTGGCGCCAAGCGGTGAACCGAATAGCCCGGCTGCTCCACCTCCCCAGCCAGCTTGGCCATGGCCTGTCAAGCCACACATAGATGAGAAAGTGATGCCCAGACAACTCAGCCTTGCTAAGCCTCCTGTGGGACCTTTCAAACCGAAAGGTCCGAAAGCCTGAAAGCATCGACTCCACAAGGCCTCTTCCACCTTGTCAAGTTCCTGGCTTGTCGATGGCAAAATTAACACATGCAGAAACACGGTTTCCGAATCGGATGGAAGGCTGTGGCTCTCCAAACAAAAAAGAAGCAAATGCTGCAAACAAAATTGAGATGCTGCGTGTGAGGGAGCGCCTTCTGTCGTTCGCGCACTCCTCCTACAATGTCGGCAGCCATGCCCTCCTGGGGCTCAACACTGCAAACGTTCGATCTGAGGCATGTGGTGCATCAGTGCTAGCATTCCAGCATCTGGGGAAACAAAAGTCAAAAGAAATCAGAACCAGGCTAACTGTTGAAACTGCATCACATCCAGCTGGTTTCCGGGATTGAACCAAAACAAACCTGCTCCACAGTGAGGCCAGAAGTGCCGGCTTCGGTTCTAACCTGACCGAGTAGCGCACCCCCCCACCACCCCCCACCACCCCCGCTCGACCCACAGCACACATCCAGCAACTGGGATTCTGGCCCTGGCACGAGGAGGCCTTGGCTCTCACATAAGAAAGCTGGTCTCTGCAATGGCGCCGTGCCTTGGGGCCGCTGGCAGTGAAGAGATTCCTGCTCCACCCCGAAACCGAACATCAAGGACCCTGTATGATAACTTTTCAGCGGAGCATTAGGGGGCATCAAGCTGAGGCATCAAGCTGGTCCTGGGTGCCCCTTGCTCCCTGGCAAGGCATTGCCGAATTCATAGGCATGCCTGGCAAGGAGACAAGCCTTGAGTCCAGATGTGCTACCCTCTTGCAGGCCTGTCTTGCAAGTGTCTCTTGTCAACGCTCCTGTCTCGCCCAGGGTCACCACGCTCGTCCTTACTCGAAGTCAGGACGATCACCACGGCTCAAACGGGCGAGTTCAGAGTCCTGCCGCTGGTAGTTCCCCGTCTCTGCTAAGATGTGGGACAGCGGCCTCCAATGACCCAGAGCAACGAGCTTCTCACGAAAGTAAAATGATAATCTCCAAACTGCCATGAGGCAGACTCGCTGAGAAGCAGCTATGTTGAGTTTGAGTCTGGGAGTTGCATCGATCAAGGATTGAGTGCAACCACCCAAGACATCATGTGGCAAAGCAAAATGCTGGTGCAAAAGCAGGCGCTTTTCTATTGAAATCCGACTCCGCCCAAAGTGCACTTCGTGATGAGCCAAAAGTCTTCCGCATGGCACAACATTCACATTGGGGATATTGGCCCACATCTGGGGGTACACAAAAAGTTCACCTTGCTTCTGTTGCTTGACTCATCGCATGCCCCTCACCTTCGACACACTCGCGGTGCAGGCGCAGGGCCATCTCCTTGCCGTGTCGACTCGCAACACAGGCGCAAGAAACTGGCCCAAAAAACGGCGAACTCCTCCGCGGTCGCGGCCAACCCGGGGGATCTTGAGGCTCACCTGCCTGAGTCTCCAGCTTTGTGCAAACGCAAATGTCAGATCGATCTGCTGACCGGATGCTTGAGCGATCGCTGACGCTCCGGAAGCGAGATGCCCCTGCAAAGCTTGGCATTGGCGGAAATAGATCGAGTGTCAGGCTAAGGGTCGCCAAGCGGCCAGCGGGGCGCAGCAGGCGTTGACGCGTGTCGGATCTTAGCCTGCCGACAAAATGGCGCGCAAAGTCATAGGCTACGAAGAGATCGCTGAGGCCACTTGATCACGCATCAGCTGCACGGCTGCCCGCGGCAAGGCTGGCCCGTACCTCATAGAATGGAGTGGCACTGCGTACAGAGATAGAGCGGAAGGATCCAGCATATCCTTGAGGACATTGCTCACGTAATCTGCCGAAACTTTTGTTCCAGCCATGTTGCTACACTGCCTGCTCACTTCTAGTGACAGTGAGGTCAGTGTGAAATGCTTCAGCAGGCACATATCATGAATGTAGCTCGTGCTTCTGTCAATAGTAGGCTGGCGTCAATGCCGTCTCAACCAGTGACCCGTGCTGCTTGTGAGACTCACCAACTGATGCTCTGGTGACAGCGGTGGCCAAGCAACAGCTTGCATGAAAATCAAAAGGTTCTATCATTCTTGCCATACAAGGTCTCAGCAAGAGACGGAGACAGCCGCCGAGCCTCACTGCTGTGAATTGTTTGCGGCCCACTACTGAGATTTACGAACGCCAAACCACGCAAACGAATTCAAGTGTTTCTAGTCCCCAACGCTCTTGAGCACAAATGCACACCGATCTATCCTTCGGTGTCTTGTAGCCTAGATTGGAATGAGCAAATCAGTGTTTGCTCCAGATCCCAAGCTGGTCAAAAAAGCAAAGCGAGGAAACAACATCACCCACCGAGAAGCTGCCACCCGGAGGGCAGAACCCCACCATCCGACGCTAGATAGCAATCTGGGCAGTGCTGAGGCTGGCAACAGATGCGGTCAAGGCACACAGTGCGCATGCAAAAAGCAGCCGAAAGCTGACGGCAGAGCTCAGGCTTGACGCATGCGCTTTTGCTGGAGGGCTTGGCTTGCACGTAGGACTGCTTCGCCAGCTCGAAGAAATGGACCAGATGCAGCAGACAAACATGGATTGGAAGAAATCAAGAGCAGTATGTTCAAGCAAACGGAGGCAAGATTTAGAAGGCCTTTCTGAAAGAAGAAGCTGCCCACGCTAAGACCTACGAGCACAATGGACGGGCTGCAAGGCGTACTGGCCGCAAGGCTCAAGAGTTCTACAATGGGAATAGCTGACGACTCGTGCAGTGAAGCAGCACAGCCTTTGGGACGTGGACAGCGGGGACAAGGATCTGTGGCCGGAAGGACAGACCCAACTCCAGGCCAACTGCTCAAGGCCTTGCGTTGCCGGACAACAGAGAACTTGTGTCAACGCACAAACAGGCCTCCTCTCTGTAGTCAGGCCAGCTTAAACATGTCCGTGCAGCAAACCAGCCGTTTCTTTTTGGACACGGCCTGTCCTGTGAACCATCGTGTCTGCGCTGCGCGAGAGACTTTTGCTCACACTGGTCAGCCTAAAGGGCAGAGCGTACACAACCGCTTGTGACGCAACACTGCCCTCGGTGTCAGTACCGAAATTGCATGGAGTAGTCCTCAGGCGACTTCATGCGTGGCGTGGGTATGCAGATCAGTCGTTGTGCCGCCAAGGAGCCCGGGGTGCCACGATCAAATGCATGCCTTGTTGTGCACCTCTGCAGACTGCCTCAACCATGTCTAGGAACTCCTGGCACAATCTGCTCACTTCATTTCAGGCAGGTGTGCACCTTGCTTTTTCAGCGCTCCCCCAATTCAGCCCTGCCCACAAAATGGCCTGGCGGCTGCTGAGCACAAAGTCGATCTTTCTCTGCGGGCCGCGACCGAGGTCAAGCTCTAATGGCTTTCCGCGGAAGAAGAACATCCTCAGCAGGGCCCCAGAGCATATGCTACCTTTACCACGTGAGCCATTTGGCATGCCAAGCGCGGAAGGTCTTAAAGCGGGAACCAGCTCTGCTTTGACGAGCTGCAGCTGCGCAGGGGCATTGAGCTGAAACTCCGCCACAGCCTCAGGCACCTCGCGAAGATCCACAGCCTCAGGTCCCACCCCACGCACCCCTCAACTCGTCTGCCAAGATGCGTGGTTCTAAGTTATAGGGCATCGCCGAAGGAGAGCTGAACAAGGGCTGTCCAAGGCGCGTAGATAACACACGCTTGCTCGACTGCCTGTGCTGCTGATGATAGCACCTCGCAGCGCATTCAAATCCATGTGCCTTCACAACTCTGTTGGCAGCCCGAGCGCACCTCATCCATCTTCATGCAATCAGGGGAGAAATCCTGTCCAAAGCGCAGGCAAACCACCTTGGAGCGCTCCCCCAGAACAGCCTGGCAGGCCAAAGAGCTCGCTGCGAGCAGAGCCCCAAGCCCTCTCTTCTCTTTGGGTGGCAACGTTGATCGCCCCAGCTGGCAAGCGAATCCATCGTACGATATGACATGGTTCCTGACGTGTAAAGGATTGCCGAACATGCCAGCGTTTGAACTAGCAAGCCCACCTGCTCCACCGAGTACGCGCTGTTCAGATGTGGTAGAGAAGCCATCTTTTGGAATGCAGTGCTACGCTGGCCACGCTTGTCTAGAATGGAAGGCTTCAGATCTGAGCATTTGGGACAAAACGGAAAGATCTTTCCAGTTTTGTCTGCGCTAGATCAATGTTATAGTACAAAGCATGTGACGTTGGATGCAGTCTCGTATGCGAGTGTCAAATGTAGGAATTCTCACTTGCAAGATTGAGCCCATACAAAAATGTGTCAAGGCTGCGCATGGCCATAGCAAAGTGTCAACGTGCCTCATGTGTTGGCACACAAGTTGAGGTGATGCGCTGATCGGCAGGATAAGCAAAGCAGCTCAGCTCTTTGCTAGTATAAATGGTACATCCTTCGTGAGACTGCGCATGCTTGGCATGGAAGGGCCGGAGGTGGTTTTAAGCCCAAAAAACACTTCAAGGTTTTTACTGCATTCCTCCACTAGAAAGCTGAGTCCCTTTGGGACTCGTAGCTGTCGCAGAAAATGTGTGTCACTTTATGTTGCCTAGGAGCCATGCAAGCAAATGTTTGCCTTGCCCACACAAGACTCGCGTATGGAGTCCTTTGAATCAGTGGGCGCGCGCGATGGCAGCACATCTGCTCCAAAGCCTGACGTTGCCAAGGTGCACGGGGACGGCCCACTAGCAAATGACTCCCCGTCGCTCTTAGGCTGCAGGCAGTGGTGTCATGCATGAAAAGGACCTGTGCAAAGCTCCACCCGTGTATAGAAAGCACTAGCCACAAGACAAAGCAATGCTCAAATTGCTGCCTCGTGAGACTGGTCGAGGCCATCATCGCTTCCTCACAGAGCCAATTGTAACAGCGAATGTGCAACTGTGATAGGCTCACAGGCCTGGAGGGCTGGCTGGATGCCCTCTGCTGAGTAGGTCTCCTTGCATCACAGCTGCAAAAAATCCCATCGCTCCGACAGGCCAAGAACGCCAAGCGGCAAAGAGGGCACAGCGCGCGGCTGGCGCGCGCCGTGAACCCTCGACCAAAGGTCTTGACGCTGAGGGCGTATGCCTCCGCGCTACGAAATCCCACCTCGTGAGGAAGCTGAGCCCGCCTCTCAGCACTGGATTCACCTCTGCTGCTGGCCTCGAAGCCTTCAGCTGCAAAGCCAGGTATGCACAAGCGACACTTCGAGGGATACGCAGGCGGACGTGTCTCAAAGAAAGCCCACTTCGGGTGGCGGGCCAGCCAAGATGAACCACTTGGAAGGCCACTCATGTTGAGGCGACATTTGGGCAACACGGGCCGAGCTGCTGCTGCTTGGAGGTGTTCTCTCCGGGCTTCTTCTGCCAACCTGGGATGAGCAGAGCATATACAACACAATCTGCTCGTGAGTGTCAAGAAAAACAAACACAAATCCCAGGCTCCAGACACACAGGGCTCAAATTTGCCGCTCGACTGATTTTCTAAACGAAGGCTTGAGGGCCAGGTGAGAATTTCCTCCAAAACGGGTTTGAGGCAACAAAGGCAAGTACATCATGGAACTCAAATCTCGTCTGAGCGCCCTCCATGTAATTTCAATTCAGCCAAGGGACTTAGCAGCATCTGGGTCAATCTCTCCTGGTAGTGTAATTGCACTCTCTGTGACCGGCACTATCGTAGAGTTGCTTCCATCCTGCCAATTTGAGTGTGTGAGATAGAGAAGCTTCGGCGTACTGCACAACCCACAGGCCTGCGTCTCTGGCGCAATGTCGCTGGGATGACTGCACGCGCATTGGACAGTGCTTCTGGTGAATGAAGCAAAACAGTACAAAGGTGTGCATGTGTGTGTGTGTGTGTCTTCCATGTATGGGCATGTCACACAAAGCAAGCAGCATGTCTCAATGATTTGTCTCTGAAATCGGCAGTCGAGACGCTCTGAACAACTCTTTGGCCCGATCCTACAAGCCCTATCGAACAAGCCTGAGCACCCCGCCTCACAGTTGCTACGACAATCTCCATCGGAACTGGAATGTCTTCGTCAGCCGCTGCATCCCGCAGCTCTGGTGCATCTAAATCTCCCGATCTGCCTCGCAAAGCTCCAAAATGCAGAAATAAATTCCGAAGGGCTTCTCAACATGGCTACAAGGATTCTGCATGCACGTCCCAAGCCACAAGTTTCAAAAAAAAATGGCGTTCCACATATCTGCATTATATGTATATATATTTTTATATATATCATATACATATATACTATGTTGGAAGCGTGCCTTCCGATGCGTCATCTTTGATGGCCTGGAAGCTGTCCTCAAACAACACATTCTTGGCAATTGTCCAAAGTACGAAACTGGCCTTCGGAGCTTCTACCGGCTCTGTCGAAGGTTCTCGAGCCACCTGCGGGCTTTTTTGAGTTGTGACAGCGACGCCTCCTTTCACCGTGTGAATGAAGCTTTATACGTTCGGCACTCACTTCGGGGCAAACGGACAAACCCAGAACATGACATAACATGACATGAAGCGAGTACACGTCGCAACGCCTGCACCTCGCCGCGCTGAGATCTCGGCGAGTCAGAGCCCTCGCAAAAGCAACTGCAAAGCAACCGTGTCTGCAAAGGAAGTCTGTGTCAAGCATCATATGCACGCTTGAATCCAGCGACCACAACCGCTGCCAGGAGAAAACAGCCTGGTCACAAATGAGCCAGAATCAAAACCTGGTATTAAAATGGTATACTCAAAACCATGTAAAGAATTAAGAAGGCGGCCGCGCCCATTTATGGCTGGGGTTGTCCCCTAAGCCTCACTTACCCGGGTTTTGAGTGTGACTCAAATGGGGTCCATGATGGTCCATGGCCAGCGCGACTCATTCCGCTCTCTCAGCGAGTCCGACCAGCCTCCGGCAATGGCAAAGGCGGCGGCTCGACCATCCCTGAGCTCCAGGAGCCTTTCTTGGAGAGTAAACCTCGGCGCAGCTTGGAAGTTGCTTCAAGAAAAAACAAGACACTCCATTGAAGGGCAAGAAAGATCCTTCGTTCCATGGAGCAAAAAATACAAAAACTGGAACAGCGAGCAGCCGCCATGAGTTGACTGCGTCTCCGACTCCAAGCCATCTGCCAGCATACTCTCGCCCAAGTCCGAGCCTGAGTGTGAGGCCGAGCCTGAGCCGAGCGGTGGCTCCGGTTCCAGTGCATAGTCCCCCGAGGCCTCTCGGACGTAGTCGATGGGGCTTTGCCCTGCCGCTGCAATCTCCAGCAATGTTTGCAGCTTGTCTTCCCTTCCAGGCTCTGGCTCCTGCTCTGAGGCCGTGTCTTCGTCCTCAAGCTTCTCCCACTCCTCCATGCAGGCCGCACGCTTGTGATCGAAGAAGGCCATGTCATCCTCGCCAGTGGCTTCGCGGCGCTTGATTTCCCGCTGCAAGGTGCGCCGAAGGATCACTTCTTCTAAGATGCTTCCTACTGCGACGCCAATCCACACTGCGGTAAAAGCACCAAAGAGAAAGTTCCAGGGACACAGCACGCACGCTGAAAGGACGCATGCAAAGAAGCCCATCAACTGCGGAAAGCTGTCCATAAGCCTGTGAATGGTAAGCCCTGAAATGTTGGCCAGCACGATGCCTATTGAACTGAGAAGAAACTGCTTGTATAGCGGGGATAGGTTCAGAGGCACAGCAAGCCACTCAGTAAGAAAGGTCGCTATGAGAGTGCAAGTCGGAATTGCTGCAATGCCTGGGAAAAAGTACATAGATCGCAGCACCACACGTGTGGGGGAGCGTCGCCAAGGCGCCTCCCGCTCCACCTGCTCGTTGATCGGCTGCTGATTCTCCACCAGTATGACACGCAATACCAAGAACTGAATTGCAACTGCTATAAAGCTCAAGCCAATGCTGTCTCTCACCGTCCAGCGATCTCCATCTCCCAAGTTTTTCTTGAAATTGTACACATCCGTCACCGGGTTGTCCCACCAAAGGCCGGCTTCACCGGCATAGAGGAGAACAGCTCCCAACGCCCCCCCCGTGAGCAGGGCAAAGATTATCTTGCCAACAAGCTGCATCATGCTCTTCCTCTTGGGCGGATCGCCCACCTCTGGGGCAGAGTCTTCCAGCGCTGCGTTGATTATCAGAGTGATCAGGCTGAAGGCATATCCCAAGCTGGAGCTGATGATGATCGCATCGAACAGGGAAGCCCACCCTGCAGAAATCAGGCTTCCTGAAAGATACGACGCAGCCAGAGAACCCGAGAGCACTTGGCCTGTGATCGTCCGGGCGAGATTATTTGCGCGGTGCACCTTCCCCTCCGCACTGCTCAACGCAAAGTAAATGCCTGTCAGGCCGTACTTCAGCAAAGCGGGGATGATTCTTTCCAAGGACGCCTTGACAAAGGACAAGGTGAAGCCTGCGATGATCACGTATGTGCCTTGCGCAGCCAAGTTGTTCTCCGTCAGAGTAAAGGTCCCCAAGCTCAAGTACAGCAACATGCCAACACTGGTGAGCCTTCTCAAGAACGGAACCAAGTATTCCACAGAATAGGCAAGAATCTCAGCAATGAGCATGTAGGTGCGCAGTATCACATTCTTCTTCCTTGGTGCGGGATATCTTTCCAGCTTTCTCATCTTTAAGCAGCTCATCTTGTTCCCAATGTAAACCAAAGGGGGATCGTTTAGGTACTCGCATGCCTTCGCCACGACTGCCCCATATGGCACAATCTGCACAGCCGCACTCACGGTTCGACCCGTTGCAGTCATCATGAGTTCGTATTGCACATGAATCTTTTCGCATCTCTTGCAGGCCTGGGGGTCCCGCAACTCCATTGAATAAACATGTGCCCGCTCATGGACCAAGTACGCGTCGATGTTCCAGGGATCCCACCACACCCCAAACAAGGTAGGCATCGCTGCTCCAAAAACATTCAAGCGGAACATGCCGCCTTCCTCTCCGACGCCATCTGGATCGAGAGCAGTCAAGTCTATTCCCAGAAAATTGGCCACACGCTCTGTGATGTAGTCTTGACCCATAAAGTGGCCATTAACGCAAAGAAATACAAATATCAATCCGACCAGAGAAGACCCTGTGAGCAAAAGTCGCCCGACAAAAATGGCCAGGGTGTCATCATACTCACAAACCCAGGTCGATACGACAAATGGGTTGGCAAAAGCAAGGGCTCTTGTAAAGAGAACCATTGTCATTTGTACAGCTGCGAATGAGGCACTCAAGCAGAAGAGGATCAAGCTCTGCGCGAGCACCCTTTGGCACTCCGGCCGCGTGGCTCGGACCACCTGCCGTGCTCCCACAAAAAGCCCGAAGAGGTCGTAGTTCAGCCACTGAGATGCCCCGTACAAAATCATGACCAGCGCCACCGAGCCCGCGAGGGCGCAGGAGCCCTCGCAGAGCGGGATGCCGACCAAACGGCCCAAGCTCCAGGAGATGGCCTGACTGGTGGCATACATCATGTCGTACAGCAGCATGGCGGGCTCTCGCAAGGTCTCCAACAGCCCGGGAAAGAGCTCCACCACCCGGTCCGCCTCGATGTTGTCGATGGCCTCGAAGGACAACATCTGCGCCCGAACAATCAAGAGATCAAAGATGAACTTGCCGAAGTATGCCAGGCCGAACACAAATGTCGCAGCCACATTAGTGGCCACATCCATTGCCGAGGCCATGCCGTCGTCATGCTTGACCTTGACTCTCGACACCTCTTGCCTAAGGTGCATGTCTCTCAAGTCCAGTGGGTCGAAAGGCGACTTGAAGTATCGGATCACCTGGCACAGTTGGAGAGCACACCCGATCATCATCTCCCCAAAGATCGCCCCGAGCAACAGCCAGGGTGCCATCCCACTCAAGACCGAGCCAAGCACCAGGAAGAGCAGAGACCTGTAAAGCTCCAAGGGCCGTGGATTGCGGCCGTTGGGCAAAATGAACCAGCGGATGATCTTGCTGGTCTCAGACTTGCTGGTTGCCAGGAAGCTTCTCCAAGCAAGCAGCGGCCAAGATGGCACCACCACCAATCGCTTCAGAAAGAGTCGCTTCCGAGCATGTCGTTCCCTCGACCCAATGTCACTCCGCACCCAATATTTGGCACGAGATTCTGCATCTGCCGGCAGAAGAACAGCAGCCAAATACAAAGCGATAGTAACCCCCAGGCCAAGCCAGGGCAGGACGTTGGACATCCAAATGGTGGCGTACTCAAAGCTCAGCTTGTCACGTGTATCTGTGATACTAGTTTCGTCTGCAAAAATTGGTTCCCCACCCATAAAGCTGCAGCAACACCTGTTTTCACTCTGGATCAAATCGCCTATAGGGCAGCATGTGCCACTAGCGCCAAAAACATCTACGCATTTTGGGTGCTTGATGCAATATGGCTCTGCTAGCAGTGGCACGGCCCCTGTCAGCTTCACGATGCACTTCTCACTGTCCTTGCGTGACCGCTGCTCCACCACCGCCTGCTCAAAGATGCGCAACCCAGAGAGACGGGACGGGCATTCACCGACGTTCCGAAACTCTGCTCCCAAATGGACAGGGGCTCTCATATTGTACTGGGTGGGAATCGCCGGCTGCGGCGGCTCCCGAAACCAAGACGCCTCGACCCAGTTGGACCCGTTCCACCTCTGTAGCTCAAGCACATCTGCAGCGTCACAGCATCTGGCCGACTCCCAGCGGGACTGCACTATCTTGACACAGCGCACTTCATATGAAACCGACCACTGCATCCCAACCCAGGCACCCGTGCAGTCTGTCTTCTCTGTAGCAATGTAGTTGAAACCAGTCCTACAGTTGGCGGCCCAAGTTGTCAGTGGATCCTCGTCCACAATTCTTGAGCTCGCATAGGAAGGCTGATCAACTGTGGTTGATGAGAAGAAATCAAAGCTGCCAGATGTAATGGGAGTTCCGCCCGTTATCTGGGTCTGGCACGTGTCGTCGCTAAACAGCTTGAGGTCTGAGATGCCCCAGGGTCGGTGCATGATGCGCGCAAGCTGGGTTGGACACGGCTCATCCTTTCGGGACAAGTACTGCAAACGCCACATGGTGTTGATTGCTGCTGGTCTGCGATTCCACTCGCTGCCTCCCAGGCCACCCATTTGCCAGTGCTTGGCCCAATTTGTGCCATCCCACTTTGAAATGTCCACAGTGCCGCTCTGCATCAACTCATAACCTGCTTGAAAAATGCGAGCACACCTGACATTCTGCACCACAGTCTCTCCTAGGTCGAGACCAATCCAGGCATCACTGGCATTACAGCCAACTCGGAACTGAACTGTTTCAAATCCAATTGGATGGTGAAAGATTTCCACTGGACAGCACTGAGACATCCATATGGTCGAAGTGTTCCCATCGAATGCATGTTCTGGACCTCTATCTTCCATGGGCGGAACATAGCCACTTGCAATGACATCCCCGACAAGCCTTCCACTGGAGCAGTCGCTGTTGGTGAAAAACTCCACCTCGTAGACCGCCCAGCCCTCCGGCACTACGTCGGCGTTCTCCACGCGCCACATGGACCCCGGCTGGGCGGGTCTCCGCTGCCAACCTCCACCGCCCAACCCATCCAACTGGACCTCCACTGGGGACATCTCCGGGTCCTCGCTGCGCCACTCCTTGCCATCCCAGAGCTCCAGACGGACTGAAGGCACGTATTCCAAGGGCATGGAGCCTTGCATCAGCTTCACACACCGCACCCAAACAGAGCTGGAGAGAAAATCTACGCCAACAAAGCCAGGACGAGATTGGCTGGGCTTGTGCTCCACTAAGAGCCCTCGGGTTGTATCAAGATCATTGAGCTGCTCTGCTTCCGACCACATCTTTCCGTTCGCAACACGGTCAAAGTACGGGACGAATCCCAGGTAACTGGAAGCCAAAACGGAAATACCACCACCTCTGCTGCCAGACCTCCCCAGTCGGTGCTTGCAAGCGGTATCCGCATAGAGCTCGATTTCCAGCAAGCGCCAAAGGCGGTCATCGGGGACATTTGGAAGGAGACGCCATCTGGTCATGAAGCTAGCAGTTGGCCGGGACCAGACACCTCCTCCAAGCTCATGCATCGACCCCGTGTCGGTCACGGGCGACATAGTATATATCTCCCCGTTCCAGATCTGCACCTGAACACTGACCATCTGCCGCTCCAGGCGTTCACTCTGCCAGACTCTGAAGCATCTCACCATATCCTCAACAGGGTTGGCTCTACTACAGTTCCAGTTAACTTTACTGCATCTTCCATCATGATTTGACTTTGAATCACGTCTCATGCAGCTTGTCAAAAAGACAGTTTTGCCTACCCTGATCCTGACCAGCTTGAGCATCCTCAGCATCGGGTGGAAGCTCCTGCCCGACCCAGTACCTGCGTGTCTCATTGCAGGAATCGCAGTTCGCAGTCCAGACTGTAGCAGCGTCCTCATCAAATGCGGCAGCAGGCTCGTCGCCTGCAAAATATCCGCTTCCAATGGCCCTACCTGGTGTCATTTGGACCAAACAGAGCGGATCTCTGAAAGCACGGATTTCGGCCACCTGCCATTGACCTGCAATCTGATTGTTGTTCCGCACCCGCCACAGTGTCCACGGTGGCGCGGGTCTTCGGTTCCATGTACCACCGCCAATTTCCGGATGCTGGCTGTGTATGCTCCAACCGCCATTCAGGTAGACGTGAAGCGATACAAACGCAGATTGCTCATCCAGCGTCTTGGACCTTACGTGTTTTGAGGCAAACTGAGCACTTCGAATTATATCAAAGTATGATTACGCCGTATCAAAGGTCTCCTCTTTGATTGCCTTGTTCTAACACGTATCCCGCTTCTGAATCCATGCAGTCCAAGTGAGAGCGGGAAACAGTGTGCAAACCAAGGCACTGCAGAATTCGGATACATTTCACATCAGGCTGACGCCCGCGTACATATATCCCCAGCCATGCCTCACCAGGGATGCACGAGTCACGGCCCAAGCCCTGCGAGCAGCTGGAGGTCCACACCAGGTCTTGCCGCAAATCACCGTCATAGACGTTGTAGATCTCCATGTTCCCCGGCCCTTGCATGGAAAGTGGGGTTCCCTCTAAGCGGGCATCAGGCAAGTCTGCGCAAAACTCGCTGGTGTAGAACTCCAGCTCAAGCACATTCCACTGACCCCGGGTGTAATCATCATTGGAGAGGCGCCAGCATGTTTTATTCGGGGGCCGCATGTCTTCCCAAACACCGGGCGCGTCGCCAATGAATGGGGTATCCAGAGTGGGCGGAAACAAGCCGTACGGCACATTTTTATCCCAGAACTGCTCCTCCGTCTTCCAGTCGTTCCCTGTCCATCTTTGCAAGGCAAAGCCGGCAGTCCAGGACCGCCGCTGCTCCCTCTCAAAGAGGTCCACCGGGTTTCTTTGGAACAGACGCACACAGCGCACCGTCCTTTCCGAGTCGAACTCCAAGCCAATAAAGGCCTGCTCCGGCTCGCAGCCGTCGAAGCGTAGGCCGTCCCCCCAGATCTCCGGTGCATCGGACCCGGGGATGGGATCGCACTTGGCGGTCCACACCGTGGACACGTCCCCGTCGAAGGCCTTCAGCTCCCCCTCAGCCATCGGACTTTGGCTTCCCAGCGAGTAAACCAGGCCGTTCATCTGCCAAGTGCACAGCTCGTCCTCAAAGAACTGCAGCTCGCTGAGGCTCCACGGTCCCAAGGTCACCTGGAAGGGCGTCTGACACTTGTCCCTAGTTATGACTTGTGGAACTTGGGTCAATCAGGTGTGGAAATGCCCCAAACTCCTCATTCCCCATGGCCCACCTGGACATTCTGCAGGCGCCAAAGGTAGTTGAGCGGTGGAGGGCGCCGCGACCAGCCACCCCCACTCACGCCAAGGAAGGTCTGCACCACTTCGTAAGTGTACTCATCATTTTCCACGTCGAGGAAACCATCCACAATCGTGATGTCGTCAGCTTTGTGAAGTGGATCAGAGCTCTGGAAAATATGAACACACTTCACTGTAATGGCATCCAGCAACGGACCTAGAACTGTCCACTGGCTTTCTCGCTCCTCCAATGCCAGGGCATACGCTTCAGTGTAGGTAATATCGACACCTATGCCAACGGAGCGCGACAAGCAACCTCCGAGCTGGACCATGCAGTCTGCTGTCCAATTGGTCCAAGTGCGCCCATCAAAAGCAAATGGCCCGGAGGTGAACAGCTCTGTTTCACGCCGCGTGCCCGTGTCGTAAACATCGGAAGGACTTGGCTGCAATTGATCAGCCTCATCACAGGTTGTGGAAAAGAACATTTTCAACTCATAGACGACCCAAGGCCCAGGAGTTGGAGATTCATTAACAATCCCGACCCTCCGCGGAATCTGCCGCGGAATAACTGGCAATATGATGTCTTGGCCTGCTGCCAAGCCGACAAAGAAAAATAGCAAGGACATGACCGACTAGCGTGCTCGAAGATGCCAGTCGCTCCTAAGAAGTGCCATGGCGATGCAGAACAGGATTCACTTTTTCTGCGTTGGTTAATGTGTGTGAGTATTGCTAGGTCCATAACATGCGAGGATTTGAGATGTACAGCATGGATGAGACATTGAGATGCGCCGTATCCACATTTCCGTCTCACAGCTTGATCTTCAATGCAGAAGATAAGCAGAGGGTGCAAAAGCAAGCCGCTCGTTTGCCCCCCGTGCACTACGGATGTCAATTTGCCAAATGTGCAAACATCATGGGCCACGCTTCAATTTTGCTCAGTGATGTGTAGCTAAAAAATAGCAAGCAAATGACTTGTCTCAGCTCGCTCAGCATGTGCATGTCAGACTCATGCTCCACTTCCAAATGACGCCCAAAGACACAAGTGTTCCAGCAACTGCGGCTCAACCCAGCTCTTTCGTTTTGTGCAGCCTGTGAACCTTCATTGCCAAGCTTGCACGGATTGTCACTTCAATGCTTACTTCAGCTTTGAGGATGCCCCGACCCAAATCATCCCACGTGTCAAAGGAGCAGCAGGTCATTTCCAGCATCTACAGCACTCCCAGCATTCCCAGCATGGCCATTCCCAGCATTACAGCATTCCCAGCATTCCCAGCATTACAGCATTCCCAGCATGGCCATTCCCAGCATTTACAGAATTTACAGCACCAGCATGGTCATTCCCAGCATTTACAGCAATCCCAGCATTCCCAGCATGGTCATTCCCAGCATTTACAGAATTTACAGCATTCCCAGCATGGTCATTCCCAGCATTTACAGCAATCCCAGCAATCCCAGCATGGTCATTCCCAGCATTTACAGAATTTACAGCATTCCCAGCATGGTCATTCCCAGCATTTACAGCATTCCCAGCATTCCCAGCATTACAGCATTCCCAGCATGGCAATCCATCATTTACAGAATTTACAGCACTCCCAGCATGGTCACTCCCAGCATTTACAGCACTTACAGCATTCCCAGCATTGCAATTCCATCATTTGCAGAATTTACAGCACTCCCAGCACTCCCAGCACTCCCAGCATTCCCAGCATTCCCAGCATTCCCAGCATTCCCAGCATTCCCAGCATTCCCAGCATTCCCAGCATGGCAATTCCCAGTATTTACAGAATTTGTCATTCCCAGCAGTCACAGCATTCCCAGCATTTCCAGCATTGCCAGCATTCCCAGCATTCCCAGCATTTCCATTCCCAGCAGTTACATCATTCCCAGCATTCCCAGCATTCCCAGCATTCCCAGCATTCCCAGCATTCCCTGCATTTCCAGCATGAGCATTCCCGTCATTCCCAGCATGCCCAGCATTCCCTCCCAGTATGGCCATTTCCAGCCAAGCATCCCCAGCATCCCCAGCATGCTCAGCATCCTCAGCATCCTCAGTGCGAACTTTAGTGTCGGTAGCGTTGCAGCCTCTGCTTTCATTCTTCGGCAAAAGATGGGTCTTTCGATCACCGACCGTCCCTTTCGGGACAGTCGGAAAAGGCTACCAAACGACCAAACGAATGGCTTGCTTCGGCATAACAGATGGCTGTACAGCCAAAATGGAAGATGCTGAACACTTGCGCAACGCGCATTGCACAAATGCAATCAAGTCTACTTCTTGCGAGAGGCGATGAACCATGCAGCGGCTGCTGCTGCAACTGCGCCAACCTAGCTGCATGTATCTCACAAGGCTTCATGCGCTACCTGCTACCAAGCGGCCAAGAGGAAAATTGCAGTAGAAGGTAGGCTCATTCCACTCTTTCCTATCAAAGCCTGCCGAGCTTGTCGGAGGGAAGAAAACATTGTACAATAGATGCAAAGGAATCTTTGAAAGGTGGTGGCATGTGTGTCTCAACGCCTCTGGATCTGGGACACCCATCGACTCGTCCCAGCCGGCTTCGCGAAATCTCTGCACCTCCATGGTGCATGTTGAGCACAAATGCCAAATGCCTTGAAGGCGCGTTTGGTTCGGGGAACACAGTCCTGACATCAGAAATTCATGGTTTGGTTGTACAAGGTCTGGGTGAGGAAAATGCACAAGTGTCCGCTGACACCGAGCCAACGGCCTGCTTCTCAGAGCCCGCTAGGACTCCCTTGCAGCTTATCTTCTCTTCGGTACGAGCAGCTGTCGAATGCAAGGCATCCTGCCAGCCACAACCACACGCCGACACGCTCTGAGCAGGTGGACAAGCAAATCGAGGGCAGGCCTCAAACTCTGCTGATGCATCTTGACCCGCAACGGACTCAAGCAATTGCGCGCCTGAGTGCGGCCAGCGACAACCATTTGAGCATCTGCAAACAAGCACCTGACCTCCAGGGTGCTCTGTCATGAAGCCGGAAGTGTCGTAGACCAATCCATGAATTGCCATCCATGTGTCATTCGGAGCAGTGTGCTTCGACAGCTCTTCAAGGCTAATCACCGTCATGGTGAAATTGCCAAAAGAGCCAAAAGAAACTACCAGTGAGCTAACCACGGCTGCGATCAAGATCAGGATGGAACCATGCACGGCACTTGGAGGGAAGAGCCACAAGAAATGTCTACCTACCCAAAATGAGGCCTGTCTATTCTTTGCTGCCCCAGCCACCAGCCATACAGGTGAAAATGCAACGCTAAAGTATTCAAGACTGTCCATTCTTTGCAGCACGCAATTCACGATAGCTGTGATTCTCGTCGCAAGACCATGGCAGGAAAAGACAACATAATGCTCTTTTTACCACGTCCACTTCTGCTTGCGAGCACTCTTTCGCCGGGTCTTCTGGGCGACAGGACGGCGCTGTGGAGTCTCTTTGGCAAGCATCGGCTCATTTGGCAAAACAGAACCAACCTGCGACTCCAGCATTGGCAAGTCCAATCCCAGCTTCTTGGAGGCAACAGAGAGCTTTAAGAGCTCAAAGATTCCCAGGTCTTGCAACCTTTCCGGCCGCAAGGCGAGGAGAATGCGCTCTTTTGTTGATGGCATGATGGTATAGTCCACCTTTGCCAAGGCATGAAGCAGCTTCACAGCTTCGCGGCTGCTCATCTCCTCTGATTGTGACATCAACGCGCCCATAACCATACCAAAGAGCTTCATAGGGGATATGTGCACTTTTGAAAAAGCGTGCACCACGTTGACCAGGCTCTCACACGGTTGAACATCAACTGCCTGCTGATTGTCATCCTTGCACTGGACAAAAGACTCTGCCAGCCTTTCGTACAAGCGCCTGTCCGTAACCTGAAGCTTTGCAAAGGCCATTGTCAAAGCCCGTAGCTCTGCAAATGTGGCGGCGCCGAGGTCACATGCTGGAGCTGCTGTCTCGCTGGTTTCTGTCACAGTGCGGCGAACCATTTGAGTCGCGCGCCCAGAAAGGACAGCGCAGCTTACACCAGCCTTTGCCAAAGATGCCAGCATTGAACTCATCAACGATGCGTCGAGAGTGTGGAGGTGCCGTCGCACTTCAATTGAAAGCAAGTCCAGCAAAGCAATGTCCTGGCTTGTAAACTTGGCAAATCCGTAGAGAACTTGAGAAAGCTGCTGTGGGGTCAAGGCCCCACGCACCTCTTTGTCGCGCAGCCGCCCTGACAGTGCTTCCAAAATTTGCTCGTCATGAACCCTACAAGCCGCATATGCGTTTGCAGCGGTAGCACAGTCTTTGGAGCTCAGTTTGAGCGACTGCCTGGCCAAGGAGTTGCTGATACCAAGCAGCAAGGCGGAAACCTGGCGATTCCCACGCATCCTGAAGGTGGCCATGGCTTGCAGGACCTCACAGAGTTGTGCCGCGGTGAAGAAGGAGATGTGCTCCAGCGTCACTCGCGCTGCTCCATCAATGAGTTCTTGTCGGGAAGTCTCGCTTGCAGGAAGACAAGCTGCAGCATGCAGCTCCGACAGTGACAGGAGAGAGTTGGATAAACACCCTGCCGTTGCTCTAGACTCCTGCAAGAGCTCGAAAAGTGAAGTTTCCATCTTCTGCACGACCCGGTCATTTTGGAAGGCAAGCAACGCGTGCGCACGGAGCACAAGCATAATGGTATCGGAGTCCAAATGTCTGTCTTGTGCAGCTGCGGCCGCTGCATCGCCAAGATTATACCTGAGGAGGCGCACAAAATACCCACGTCTTGGGTGCGTTAAAGAGGTCCGGTCGCATTTGCAAAATTCAGCTGTGACTCCCTTTGGCTCCGAATCTCTACAGCTCATGTACCTAATGCTGAACCTTCACGACTGTTGGACGAAACCTGTGCGGGTGTGTGTGGGTGTGTGTGGGTGGGTGTGTGGGTGTGTGTGGGTGATGACCATAAATGCCGTGTTACCAATTCTCAGAAAGCACGTGTTTGGCGAGGGGGTGAATCGAAATATATGTTGTTACATCGCTTTCTTGTGCGAGCAAGGATTTATGCCTGCACCAGGTGTCATGTAAAGCAAGGTGAAATAATGCCGAAATTCGGCCAAAAGCTACATCAGCTCGACGTCGCGATAGTGAACAGATGCTGCTGCTTCGGTGTAGCGAGCTAGCTGTCGCAGATCTGTGCCTGTGCCGTGACAAAGCATCCGCTGCGCCTGCACACTGCATGCTCTCCAAAAGTCGGGGTCCTTAAAGCCACTGGATGCCGCACTTTGAGCCACCAAAAGCAGCGTAGCAGCATCCGGCAAGTGTCCTGGCTCATAAACCAGGTGTGCTGGTAAAGTGCCGGTCGTTTGTCTTCTCGCCGGAACATACGGTCCACCAATCAAGCGCAGGCTCGGCGCCAATCTCCGGCCGGTTCTCATGCGGCTCTCGCCATCGAGGCAAAGCCTCGGCTCATTCCGCTCGGCATCTCATGGCGCCCGAAACCCAAAACGCGCGACGGCCTTGTGACTTGAAGTCAGAGCTTGTTCCACTCAAAGCGTCCCTTGCAGTCTGCCACTTGTTCACAATCGTCTCAGAAGGGCTGGGATGCTAAAACTTGAGCCAACCTTAAGGCTGCAATCATCAACCACTACAGACATGGTGCTTCTCTCTCTCTCTCTCTCTCACAACTGCCGCCAGCATTCGACATGAGAAAGTGATACTTCAACATATCTCAGGTCCAGATCGTGAATGCCTTCTAGGGCAGCTGAAAAGTCTAAGAACTATCCCCAAAGCTCCAAAGTCCGCTTAGCATCCTGAATGGCTTGGCCTGCGCGGAGGGTGTGCAAAAGTCTCCCCAGTTCTTTCAGTGCAGCTCACAATTGTGAGCAACCAAAATCAATAAACTAACAGCCGCCATAAACTGCTGCTGGCTGGCATGTTTCCGCTATCCTAGATTGCACTTTCGTGAGCAAGACGCTCACCCAGCCTTGTGACTTGTCACGTTGGACCGAGATGGGGAAGCAAGCCCACTCTATCGCTCTCATGCTCATACAGAGAATGCTTAAACAGCCAAGCTCTTCGATTAGTCCCAAAATTCCACAGCAGCTCGTTTTACCTCGAAGAAGATCATGGCTGAAGGCTATGTTGCCTCATGCCATTCCAAGTCCAGTCCACGCCCAGCTCACTTCTTGGCCTCGGGAATTGAAAGCATCTCCGGTACCTGCCCAGTCCTGATCAAGAAATCACTGGTTGGCTCTGGCACGGGCTTGTCATCCGCACCTCATGAACTCCTCAATGATTTCCACGCAGTCGTCTCGCCTTTCGTTCCCAATTTGATGAGGCCTAAGTTGCGCAGCCAAATGCACATCGATTTGGCATCAACTGCTTCATGCATAGCAAGCTCGACGTGCCATGCCCTTTTCTTCCCCGCACCCACCCACCCCACGGGAGCGCGCAACTATGACTGTTTGCGCCACTGCCTGACGTCACTTTGCGAGGTCAAGGTTACAAGACACACCGCCCACTGTCATTCTTGCAAGAGCCACGTTCCAACGTTGCTGCACAGAATCGCGGCTAGCCGCTACAGCGACATCAGCCACGGTGCCAGCATTCCCCACAAGTCTAAGTTTCGCGTTGATGTAAGTAGGAGTGAATGTCCCACTGTTCGACTGGATGTATGATGGGCCGAGCACAGCCTCTACGCTTGGATTCGCCAAAACAGCTGCACGCACGAAACCATAACTCTGCGAGATTCGCATGGACCTCAAAACACGGCTACCTCCTGCAAGCAGAGTCCCCAGCAACGAGATGCCCAAG